AATCTTTTAGGTGACACCTTGTATAGCGGTATGTAACTTTTGTTGTTATTTTTGTTCCATAATCTAACTAATTAATAGTTTAAAAATTTTTGGTAGAGTTTCCCCGTTCTCCGCATAAGTATTAAGGGAACAAAAACTTTAATATTTTTTCACTTTTTTCCTCCTTATCTGATATTCGTACCTAAAAGACAGGCGACTTGTTCATTTTGTTTGATTTCGGCTCTAGTCTGCATTAGTAATGAATTTTAAAAATTTTTGATTTGTACAATTTTCTGTTTTTAACCTGTGATGTTTTTAATTATTTGTATTAACGACCTATGTCCGCGGTAGGTGTACCATGTTGGCTAACTTCTATGTAATTCTCGCATAGTAAGTAATTTTTTAATTGACTAATTTTAAGAAAACTTCAACTTGTATTTTATTGTAGTTTTTTCCTGATGAAGAAACAAAATATAGTTTCGAAAGCTTGAAAATTTAAAAGAGTGTAACTTTTTTTATCCTTGGCTGCATCCCCGTCTAAGAAAGAAATTTGGTTTATATATATATATATGTTATATTTTTTTGAATGTATGAATTAATTATTTGTTGTGTGATTTGATTTATAGATTTGGATTTTCAATTTTTGTTCTGCCCAGGCGCCAATTAAGATCTAGTCTTAATAATATAAATATCTAGCTCACTTTCTTACTCAGGGTGTGTTTCACTTTGTTACTTATTTTGATATTACTATGAAATGAAAAATATAGGTTTTAATACGAATTTACAAATATATTACACATATAAAACCTTTTTTACAATTGACAAATTTTAATTACTTATATCTAATTTAATTTAGAGGTGAAATTTATAGTCGACTTTTATTTTGATTAGGGTTACGGATTCGTACGATTATTGATTGGTATTGTTAAACATTTTAAATTATGAATTTGTTAAATTGAATTTTTAAATTGGCCAATATTTGTGTAGCTACAATCAACTCACTTTGACACGATGATGCAAAGTTGGTCCTATATCCGTCTTCTAGTTGGGGTTCTGGATCGTCGTAGACTCTGCTCGGTTTATATACACCTAATTTCTTACGATGTGTTGGTATTTCCACTGGTAGGTTATCGGAGCACTTTTTTCTGTAGCACTTCACAAACGCCTTGTTGAAAATTTATTTCTTACACTTTTTGTAACAATGATATCAATTCCCATCACATAAACTTAAATGAATATTTGCACAATTGAGAATTTTGAACTGGTGGAAATTTTCTTAACCTCTGACGGTTGTCAAACTTCTGTAACCTCACTTATGCCAGGTAACAACTTATTTAATTATTTACTTTTTGAACTATCTTTTGTTTTTTCAGGAGAATGAATGACGTGAACTGATCGATGAATTATGGAAGACTGGCTACCTAGAAGCCGTACACTAGTTTTTATAAATGAATAACAAAACACTAGGTTGTCATGGAGATGTAAATTTGGAATTTTATGAAATTTTTACTTTACAATAGTGCCTTTATGCTTGTACTATACAACACGACACTGATGTATTTGACTTCTACACATTTTTCTGAAAATTTTGATATCTATTTTTTTATATTACGATTACATTTGAGGTTATTACAGATTTTAGCTATTTTATCAAAATTTGTGCAAATTATGTTATTCAACTTAATTACATGCCACTAGTCTTGTTTCTTAACACTTCTTTAACATTACTTTCACTATTTTATACAGTTTTATATTATACAAATCGTCTAATAGTGAAATTATTATAGGTACACCGTTCTTTGACATTCCGTACTGTTTTCTACACTATGTGAAATGAATATCAGTATGCAAATACAGTCTTGGATGCACAGAAAGTCTCATGAACACAATACAAGTCATTTTACACTTGAAAAATATCATTTATACAATAAATTTTTACATACTAATCACATCAAGGTTTGACATTTCGAAAATCGCTATCAGGATCATATATAGAACTCTAATTTTGATTCCACTCATAAATATCAATGAAAGGTATGCTAAACTTTACTTATAGTCTTATTTAAATACAATGTTTCTATTTATAAGTGTAATGTTAATTTGTTCTCCGAGAAGTCCAGCTGTCAAAATATTGTTTATCTACGACTATTTAATAATAGACGCATTATAATTGTGATAGTAAGTACATAATGTAACTCATATTACACACCCGTGGAATATGAGTTTCATATTCCACAGGTGTGGAATATGAATTTTTATACGTATCCCTTATAGCTTCTGACCGCGCTACAAAATAGAATCGAGCTTGCTTGAATTATTGTTACTATGGTAACTAATGTAATTGATTTGACAACACTTCGCAAAATAAAACATTTTTGACTTTTGCAGTAATTTTGCAGTTTAATTCTGACAGTGAAAATGAAATTCGATGCACCCCTCCTGAAATTCGTGAAGCCGCGAAATTAGCATCATTGGAATTACTTCCAGAGAAATCACGAAAAAATTACACAATTGTATATAACAGCTTTATGGACTGGCGACTAAAAATTGGCACAAATTCGTTTTCCGAAGACACTTTGTTGGTATATTTCAAGGAATTGACAAAAAAATGTAAATCGTCTACATTGTGGAGCCATTATTCCATGCTTAAGAGCACACTTAACCTTAAACATAATATGAATCTTACGCAAAAGTTCGAGTTTATTAAAAAGGCAGTCAGAAGGCTACCAACCCAAGAAATCAAAGGCATTTACTGGAGATGAAATATACAAATTTATAACTGAAACACCGGATACTAAGTCGTAGATAAAGTATAGTATTTGCCTCGCGTATAATGGCTATATTACACTCGCCTACGGCTCGTGTAATATAGCCTACATTATACGCTCGTTAAATAATATACTATT